AGTTAAACTTGCTTATTCCGACACCGACATACTATTGAATAGCTTTTCTGTTGCTAGAAGATTGGGTATAGCGCGCGTATGAACCTATCATGGCTAGTTGACTCAAGATTATTAGTCCTATTGGTAACCCACTGCTCAAGGCATGAAATTTGAAGCCTAATATTTATCGAAGTTTCAAATAAAGCTAGTCGATATTTACCTGGTTCGCTGAGAACGGAAGGGCGTGTTGGGCGGGATGACTTTGGCGCGGTGCCAAACCGGGTCTTCTTGTTAAAGCGAGCAAGTGACGAGACTGTATTATGTCGTTCGTATCACTGGTTTTTTACCACTTTTCGTAACATACCCGCTTGAACAACCACCATCGAGCGGGTATGGTGCCTAGCACACTCACAGTGCCTGACACGCCCCCTTCTCCGCAGCGAACTAGAGTAACCTATTGAATCGCTCCCCCTCCCTCCCATGGATGAAGGTCTAAAAAATAAGAAAAACTGGGCGCAGATCGGCGGCGGGGGGCATTTGCACTTTTGCTACTTCCCATCGACGTGTCGACCTATCTAGACAGCCTCTTCTCGAGTTGACAGGTTTTACCATGATGGCTTGATGACTTGCTCCAGCTTCACAAGAGTTCACATGTTTCGCCAGAGTGAGACTTGCAAACCGGAACTAGGAAAGGCAACGATAACGAAATTCCCCCTCCCCCTCCCCGTCGCCGGTCAGCGCCGATGATTTGATATCTGATAAAACTACGTACAGTGAAATCCACGGTGACAGTCATTTCTACCAAACAGGCTATCGTGACCAAAAGAGACGACCTACAAAGTACTAGGCAGTCGCCGCCCTCCCTCGCAGAGCAAATGGCGCCAAAACACTAATCTTGTCATTGCTTCGCAATTTTTATTGTGTAATTGTTTCGAATATGTCGTCATTATGATGGGCTTTGATGATTTTCCTGTTTGTATCGAATTAGCACACTTAATATGTCAAAGTAATAAACCGAGGTGGAGCACGGTTTCCAGATTAAAGAGGGGTTTGAAGAACGCTGTCAGCCAGCGTCACCGTGGTCTGTTAGTCTCATAGAGTTACGTCAGTCCTGAGTTACTGCATAGATACTAATGCCTTTTGCATGAGTATCTATGCAATGACTTTCCGCAACCTTTGGCTCCTTGGCTACGTCCTTACTTCGTCAGCCTGCTGAAATATTTTGTCACTGACGGTTCCTGGGTAGACGAAATTATAATGACATGTACG